CCTGCTGGATTCCCCAATGACTTTCTGGGGAAGCCAGCAGGAAAGATTGAAAATGGTGATCACGTGATTGCGGGGCACTTGGCAATTGCACGCTGCCGCTGCCTGCCAAGAGGACTCCCTCTCACCTCTGGGGGCTGGCTGAAAAAACTCTGTACCAAAATCCAAGCAGGATTTTCAGCCATGGAGGTTTTTCAGTCACGAGTAGAGAGGCTTCAGAAGCCTCTCAACTCTAAGACTGAAAATCCAAGCAGCTCTGAGGCCCTCGTGCACCCGACCCACACCACACCCTCACCAGCCCTCCCACGCACCCCCTCGCTCCCTGCACCCACCCAGCAGTGCCTAGGGCTTGCAACTTCCTGCCAGTTTCCCCACTGACTTGATTGTGGGAAGCCGGCAGGAAGTTGCCTTGCCTAGCAACCAGGGCATTCACTTAACAGTGGCAACCAGGACTCCCAGGATTGCGATCACTGAACAAAGCAGTCATGTGATAATTCACTTAATGACCGCATTGCTTAGCAACCTAAATTCCAGTCCCAATTGTGGTCATTATGCAAGGACTACCTGCACCTCTACTTGTCTTTGTATTAAGATAATTTTAATTGGCCTAGATTCCTGAAAAGGATTGATTATGTTTTTATTGTAGGTCAAGGTCCGAAGTATATAAAAATATTTATCAATCTTCCTCGATCAATGGATTTTGAAGAGGCAGAAAGAAGTGAACCCACTCAGGCCTTGGAACTAACACCAGATGATATTAAGGAAGATAGCATAATTCAGCTTCGCTATGTAAAATTTCAGAATGTTAACAGTGTAACTGTGAGTACAGAGTTTTGACTTCCTTCCCAGTAATGTAATTGTGCCATGTTGCACAAGGCTATTTTCCACCAGCATGTAGGAATTGTTGTGAATATACACGTGTATAAGATTCTCCATTTTAATTGAAAGCTTCCTCTGAGAAAAACCTTCAACAATCCCATTTGTCAGTAGCCAGCTACAAACGGTTTGACCACAAAAATTAATCAGGAAGGAAGGTTTAATTATAGCAGATAAATGAGCCCTCCCCCATATTAGAGTACATGTTGAAGAATGATTGTCTGTTTTCTAAGCCTGAATGCCATTGGCTGCAACAGTTTCCAGAACTGTCTCTCTCTCTCACACCCATGGAAACACAACCCACACATTTTGCTTAGTTTATTTCTCATTGAAACTAATTCTTCATCACCTTCTCTTTAAGTTCTCTTTTCCAATACTGTTTCATTTCTGAAAAATTCCATTTACTGCATAGAAAGGAAAAGCACTTAACACATATTCAGAGGTACTTTTTGAATGTCCCTGTTGGCTGGTAGAAATAGTTGTTGTCTAGTAAGCCCACACATGGCTTGTTGACCCTTGACATTAATGGAGACTTCTAGAGAACTAGAGCATTTGTCAGACATGTTATATTTGTTTAGGAAAGAACAAGATGAAGAAGTGCCTTGCTGAGAGCAAAGAACAACAGTATCATTTAAACAAGTACACAGGCCTGATCTGGTACAATTTATAAGGGTTAGGCAGACCATTTTCACTGTTGTTTGTCAATTGGTTTTCTTCTAAACCTTGCTCTTCCCTGTTCGTTACTTTGGCCTAGTAGCCAGCTACTGTGTGTTTTCAGCCAAACCTCATTTCTCCCCAATCTCTGGAATGCAGAGTTTGGGTGACAAGGATGTTCATTTGTTCTTTTTTATATATATATAATACATTTATTAGATTTTTAAAAAAAAGAACAGTAAAAACTAACAAAAACTAATATTAAGAAAGAAAATAAGGGGGGAAAAGAAATTGGAAAAAGAGAAAATAGTAAAAAACAAAAATGCAGAAAAGAAAAGAAAAAAGAAAAGAAAAAGAATTGACTTCCGACCCTCCCTGCAACCAATATAACTAACAATATACATCAAATTTTTGCTCTAAATTTACAACATAACTTCCATTATTTCTATTAACCCATATTATTTCAAGTCATCAAACCCATACAACATAATTTCATTTTTTTCTATATCCCGCAAAAAGTTCGAAAAAGATTTCTAATTAACACTAAAATTATACAATGTCTTATCTCGAATCAAAGCCATCAATTTTGTCATCTCAGCCAACTCCAACCTCGCCAACCATTCTTCCACTATAGATGTCATATTTTTCCACCTTTATACACATAAAAACTTTACTATTGTCATATATAAGAACAGAAATTCCATAAATTTAATAACAAATATATTTTAACCTTAGTTAACTTTATACCAAGATCCTTAAAACATTGTCATTCAGTCCTGGTCACAAAAACAAATCCCGTTAGTAACTACTGAAAGCTTCCAGAGATTGGGGAGAAATGAGGTTTGGCTGAAAAATAGATGTCATATTTTTCCACCTTTATACACATAAAAACTTTGCTATTGTCATATATAAGAACAGAAATTCCATAAATTTAATAACAAATATATTTTAACCTTAGTTAACTTTATACCAAGATCCTTAAAACATTGTCATTCAGTCCTGGTCACAAAAACAAATCCCGTTAGTAACTACTGAAAGCCTTAGCATATATGTTAACCCTAGTCCAATAAATTCACTTTGTAAAGCCTCTGTTTACTTTTAAAAAGCTTAAACTTGAATCCTTTCAAATAATGTCCCACAACTTGATTCCCCATCATCTCCTTGTCTTCTCCCAGGAACATCTCCAGTAATTTCTCTTTGTCTCTTCCCAGAAACAGCCTCACCGATGCAATACGTTTGTTTTGCAAATCCAAGATAAAAACAATCTTTCCAAATCACTCTTCTCCATTATTTGTATGTCCCCTTTAAACATTGTAACATCAGTTGATTCCATTTGTAATTCTATTCTGGCATCTTTTTCCATATCATCTTTTAGCTATCTTAAGTCTATGTTTGAATCCCCAGCTTCTTTATTCATACCACCTTCATAGCCCAACATTTTTTTGAACTCCAATTCCATATTTGATTAAATCTCCACCTCTTTTTCAAAGTTAACCATTTTACCACTCTATCTTTTTTTCAAGGGACTTGAACGTAGCTCCTAGTTCATCAAACATTCACTGGAGTAAACTTAAAAGGAGTTACTTTTTCTTCTAACAGCTGCTCCAAAGGACCTGTTTTAGCTATTTCTTCTTTTTTTCCCCTGGTTAGATGAGTAGAACAGTTAGACAAGTAGAACTATATAATTAATTACAAGTGAAAGTAAATTGACAGTTCACGCCCTCTAGTGACTTTCAAACTGGAACTGCAAGCATGTGTCAAGGAAAAATGTGACCAGGTTATCTAAGGGACCGCCTCTCCTCTATGACTTCAACCCGTCCCACCCGATCACACAGAGAGGACATGCTTCAGACCCCCTCAATGAAAGAACTTTGACTGGCGGGATCCAGAAGGCGGGCCTTCTCTGCGGTAGCTCCTGCTCTTTGGAACATTCTGCCCCCAGAGCTGCGATTGGCCCCCACACTCCTGGTCTTCCATAAGGCTTTGAAGACCTGGTTCTGCCACCTGGCCTGGGGTGGAGAGGGGAGGGAATACCTCAAGCATGGAGATGGCTAGCCCTATAGAGGCCTTCTGCCTTCAGCCTCAGATTTTTCATACTCTTGGTCTCTCCTTTTTAGTAACGTTTTTAATTAAGGTTTTATGTATTTATATATT